AAACCAGATTGGACAGAGCAACGTATTCTCCCAGGTGCATTTTTATAGACATGGCTTACCTAACTTCAATTTCAGAACTTCCTTGGCGGCGTTATCTCTTTTTAATATACGGCTCTTAAAAACGCATGGGAACACATAAAGAATTTTAAAACGAATCAATAACATGGGAAACCAACAGAGAAACCTTAAAGGAAAAGAGGAACTAATGGTGGAGGCAGAGAGAAGAAAACCTGTCTGCACATTAAACACCAGCTGACTCTACGTTTCTCTATAGAGTCTTCATGAACCAGCAGCAAATTACAAAAGGCACTAAACCTGGAGGTTGAGCCACTGTCAGGGGCCTTGGGTGTCCACTTCTAGCTCTGCCAACAGCTATTTGGCCTTAGCCAAGCCTCCATTTCCTCAGCTAAGTAAGAATCCACCAAGGACTCCTTCCATTTAAAAAATGATATGATCTGTGAGGTGACTCTCTTCACGTGGATTGTATTATTCTAGCAATGGAACTGAGCTTTCCTGTGATGAAGAACTGCTTGCTGACACCTACTTCCTGTTTACCACCAACTTCCGGTTCACTACCGTGCTTCCCCCAAAATAAGACATCCTCCGAAAATAAGACCTACTTACAGGTTTCCTTCTGAGTGAAATATAAGGCATGCCCCCAAAAATAAGCCCCCCTAGGCTTTGTCTCAGAATGCGATTACTAAACATGAGAGATTTGGTCCACTGATTCTGAAAGAGAGTCACAAGAAATTCACCAGGAAATTCAGGAATTGGATTGTTATGATGATGTTCCAGAAGATGATGACATGATTGTCATTGAATAAATGAGTAAATTCTTGATACTGTAGGATTCACAGTTTGTCTGGTTTGTGTTGACAACTACTGTACTACCGTACCGTATGCAAGTAATAAATTTCCTTTATTTTCATTTAACAATAAATGTGTACCATATTCTTCTTCATGGAAAAATAAGACATCCCCTGAAAATAAGACCTACCGCATCTTTGGGAGCAAAAATTAATGTAAGACACTGTCTTATTTTCGGGGAAACTTCCACTTTGCCACCACCCACTTCCACTGTCCCCAGTTTTTCCATGTGGTACTTAAATCTTTCAGAAGTTTTCTTCTTTGAGGAAAAATAAATGAGTTAAAAAACAGCAATGTAAGGGGAAATCATAGAGTAAGAGGCTAAAAAGAAATTGCATCCAACCAGTGTGTTAACCTCATTTGCATTCCGAGTCAAATAAGCAGATTAAAAATATTTAAAAAAAGACGTGAGACAATTGGAAATTGGAACACTTAGATATTAGATCTGAAGAGATGATCATTCATTATTTTTGGGGTCACAATGGTGTTATAGTTATGTTTGTAAAAGGGTCCTTACCTTTTAAAATACATACTGAAATTTTCGAGGATGAAATATGGTCCTGGGGGCAGTTAGTGAGTGATGATATAGATGGGTACAAGTTTTGGCCATAAATTGACAATGATAGTAATTCAATGTTGGGTACACGGGAGTGGATAATACTATTTGGCCTATTCTTGCATACGTTTCATAGTTTACATAATAAAAAGTGTAAAAAAACCAGATTGATGGGAGCTATCTGAGGAGCACATTGGCGGAGGTGTTGGAAAGGGCTGCTTGTCATAGTTGCATAATCGCTGGGGGTAAATATGGAAGTTCATCAATCAGAAAGCCTATGGTGAGGAGCTGGCTGGCAACGGGCCCAGCGCTGTGTGGCTGTCATCTAGCCTCTGGGCCAATTTACCCTCCATAAATAACAATCTATATGGATGCTTTACTATTTAAATGCATACTCGCCGCAGCTGCTGAGCATGTTTGTTTACATACCCACGAACCCTCTGTAAACATCACTATCTCAAAATCGCCCATGCGCCAGGAACATAAAGGGCTCACTTAAAAAATACATTTGTGGGATGAGACACGGCCAGTTCCCAGATGTCTGGGTGGGGGGCGGGCATGTGTGTCAGAATTTTGCAGGATTTGATTCATTTCAAAAATAGAATCACATGACTGGAAGGTTCTTAGAGGTCATTGTACACATCTCTCTGAGTCTGGGCAGAACTAGACGGAAGCCAACCACTGAGGATGTGGGTCTGTCTTTTGTGGATGCCAGTCTGCCTTTTGTGAAGCCAGAGAACTCATCGAGGGAAGGCCTGGGGCCTGGACCTGTAGGGCCCCGGGGCTGGGCAACATGCACACCCTACCCCCAAGGACCTTACTTTCATTTTCTAAAAATGAGCCTGACTCTCAGTGCTGGGCACAGGCTTGCTGCACTGCTGCTGGCGCTGGAATCGTCTGCCAGATGTTCTGCGCTGAGCCTGAGACCAGCTGACTGAAGGACCGGGTGGCAAACCTCCCCAGGGCAGCTCAGCTCTCCAGAAATACCATGTTGCGATCCATGTGTGCCCACAGTTGTCACGTGGGTGACAGGAAGAGGGCGCTACATCAAGGTTGCAATGCGGGGCTTGTCCTTGAAATAGGCCCTATAACTGAGATCACGGATAGTAGTTTAAGGTCAACAAAGACATTTCTGAAAGGAAAAATGAGTAGAGCGGACGCCGTTTTGTGCCAGCTCGCTGTTGTCAAGGCTCTTGGTGTCCCATCCAGCCCTCCGATGAATAATCAGGCCCTTGCGAGTTTGTTTTTTCCTGAGTGTGCATTTGGTCCACAGTAATGTTTTCCTGTGACTTTGACTCATTGAAGCATTTCTTCCCCCAAGGGTCTGTTCAATGCCCACAGATACCAACTGTGTTTTTCATTCACAAAGAGAAGCATCCCTCTGAAGCTTAAGAGATCAGATGGACTATAAGCACTGAATTGTATGAATCCCACCAGGAAAGGAACAGGACATGCCCAGCTTCCAGGCAAGCCCAGGACTTTCTAGAAATTCTTCCCTTCACTTTCCAGAAGTTAGAAAACTTTTTTTGTTCAAATAGAAAATGAATAGGGGTTGCTTTTTTCCAGGAATAAAGGCAAGTGTTTTGAATCTTTTCTTTTTTGTTGGCACCTCTCCCCTTTCCTCCAAGAAAGCAGTAGGAAGGCAGCGGATCCAGAGGCAAGCATCACTGTGAATTATCAAAAAGATAACGCCCCTCTCTTTAGAAAGGCTCAGTCATTACAGACTGTCCTCAGGAAGACAGGGCCTGCCCCAGGGAGAATGCCAACTCAGGGACATTGCAGGATAATTTGCTTATTCTGAATTCATGTTTTTTTTCTTTTCTTTTTTTTTCTTTGAGATTGAGCTTTGGGTGGAGCGAGCATGAAGCTCAGCTCCTACAGTTTGAAGCTCAGATGAACACCACTAACCAGAAAGGACATATTTCCAGTGGCATTTGCTTCTGGAACTCAGAGATGCAGTGATAACAAGGCTTGTCCACTGCCCTCCCTCAGGTCCTATTGGGAGAGTTTACAGTGAGAAATCTAATATTAGATTTCTAAATGCAAATCTAAAATTGCATCATGAGTGAGTGGTTGGGTTATGCTGCCAGAGGCTGTGTCGCAGGGGCCACCACTAGGGGGATCCAGAGTCCCTGTGCTCAGACCCTTGGGAGAAGATTCTGGTCTGTGGGAAATGATGAGGCTCCCGGTTTAAATTGCTCCCTCCCCTCTCTCCTGCCTCTCCACTCCCCCAAACACACAACCATTGCTTCAGGAACACACCCGGAGTCAGGCTAAGGTCACGGATAGCCCTGTTCACATCTGTAGCAGTCTTTTAGTATGTCTCAACAGTTCTCCCGTTATTCTTTACAGCTTTTTCGGATTAGGTCCATGTTCCTTTAGTTCTATGGAAAGAAGCCCACTCTAATCACCGAGCTCCATGCCACTCACATTGTCATTGCTGGTTGCATTACACACTGATGGCAAAGTTTCCACCGGGAGAGAAAGTTGCTAGAAGTATGACCTGGCCTGCAGGGCACAGGCGGGCACAGACACGGGGCCAAGGACTTTCTTTTGAAGGGATGGCGGGGATGGGCTTAGGGGTTAATGAGGAATCTGGGGCCAGTGTGTAGGCCCTGTATTTTCAGATGATATAAACCAACTCCGAGCCTCCAGTTGAAGACCTCAAAGCACAGAAGGGCAGTTGCATAGCTAACTTGGATCCCATGACTACTATCCCTAGTCAGAAGAACAGTAAAGAAACTGGTGAATTAGGGTTCGAGTTTATGTGTTTTCTGTAGGACACCATTGCTAGCTTACGTCAAAATTTACGGCTCTATTTTGTGGGCTGTGACAGATAAACATGGGCAGAACCGGTTTTGCTGTTGGGATGGATAACACGTGTGAAGTTCAGAGATGAGCGAAGACTTCAATAAGAGCAGACCAGCTCTCTATTCTGAGAGCAGACGATCTTCCCTAAAGCACACCGATGGAAGGTCAATGGAGTTACGACGAAAGGATCGTCGGCTTTTCACTTTCCTGCTGGAGTTATCTGCTGGGGCCGCAGGACTGTGTCTGCGGGGGCTCAGCAGGGAGACTATGGAGACAGACGCCAAGCACTCACCCGACATAAAACAACGCCATGGGCCTTGCAAATGGCTCCCAAAGAAGAGGGGCAATTGCGTTTTTATTAAAGCGATTTGTCAGGCTTCCTCTGAAAGCCTCTCCGTCCTCCTCCGGGCAGGGCAATCAATAACCTCCAGTATTTAATGGACCGTGTTTCAGAGCCACGCAAAAGGTGCTTTAGCGAGAAATTTTAATTTACGTAAATATTTGGAAATTTAACCTATGTTAAGCAGTGCTTTAAAAAAACACTCGTTTATTCACTTGTTTCCAAAGGCCTTTTGAAAAGAGAAGGCTAGCCTTCTAGGTGGATAGACTGGAGGTGATAAGCTACATGGGCACACACGTCCTGAAGTGAGGGGGCGGTGTAACAGTAAGCGGTGTTCAGCTTTCCCATAGATAAGATGTGAGACCCATGGGACCCGGTTAGAAGGGGCCTGGGTCCCTCGGAGACCCCGGAGCGAGCGCGCCTTACCTGTGGCTTCCACCATCCCTTCCAGGATGACCACGATCTCCAGCTCCTCTTTGGGCAGCTGTGCTTTGGAGATTTCCCAGAAGGGACTCTGTTGGTTGATTTCGTGACTGATGATGAGCGGCGACACCAGGAACAGCCGGTCGTCCCCGGTGTAATACCCGACGTTGATGTCCGTCTGGTTCAAGGGGATGAATTCGCCCTCTGAGGTCTGTTTGGATTTGATCAGCTTGGCGCGGATGGAGGCCTCCACGATGTGGGAGTTCCTGAGGTCCCCGACGCGGAACATCAGGCACAGCTTGCCATCCCGCATGGAGATCACCGCATGGGTGGAGAACACCAGCGTCTCCGCCCTCTTCTTGGGCTGCGATATTTTCACAAACATGCATCCCACCATGAACGCGTTGACGATGGACCCCAACACCGACTGGACCAAGAGGAGAATGATCCCCTCCGGGCACTTGTCTGTGATGACCCGGTAGCCATAACCTATGGTGGTCTCTGTCTCTATGGAGAATAAAAAAGCAGAGACGAACCCGTTGAGGTTGGTGACGCAGGGAGTCCACGACGGGTCCTCTATGTGGTCCATGTCTCCTCGGATGTACGCTATTAGCCACCAGATCATCCCAAAAAAGAGCCACGTGACCGTGTACACCATGACGAAGATCAGCAGGTTGAACCGCCACTTGAGGTCCACCAGGGTGGTGAAGATGTCGGTCAGGTAGCGGTAGGTCTCCCTCACGTTGCCGTGGTGCACGTTGCACTTGCCGTCCTTGCGCACGTACCTCTGGATCTTCCTTTTGGTCCGGTCCCGGCAGATGTGTCTGGGCAGGTCGTCCCTGGCCTGCTTAGGCAACTTTGGCTGGTGAATGGCCACGGGGCTCTCCACGTCCTGGTCCATGGAGTCGCCCTCCAGGACATTAGCTGGTGGTTTGGAGAGAAGAAAAGAGAGACCGAGTGAAATGCTGGCTCTTAGGGGATCATGGGAAACCACACCGTGTGCGGGACACGGACGGGAAACCCAACACCGTTGGTGTAGCTGTGCACAGAGCAGAGTGAGTTTTGTGCGGCATCGCCTGGACAGGCCCGAGTGGACTGGACTCCTGTGCTCTGCCGGCTGCCTTTGTGCGGGAGCTTCACCCCCTGCTCAGCAGGCAGCTCCGGGCCAGCAGGGTCTCCTGGCCAGCAGGCTCTGAGAGTCACCCTGGCAGGGAGCTGTGCACTGCGGATAGAGAGACGTTAGGATTCAAACAGTCTCTGCTCTTCCACTTTGCTAATGTGGACTCTTGGACATGCTATTTTTATCACTCCCGCCCCCTCTCCCTGCCCCGCAATGTGGGGATGGAGGTAAGTAAGGTTGAATGAGGCCAGACGGCGGGTCCCCGGTGCTATAGGGCTGGTGTCTTTATAAGAAGAGGAAGAGATGCCAGGATGTGTACCGGGAGGAAAGGACATGTGAGGGCCGTGGGAAGGCAGCCATCTGTAAGCAGAGGTCTCCCAGTCCAACCAGAGTCACCAGAAACCAACCCTGCTGGTTCCTGCATCTCCAATCCCCAGCCCTCAGAATTGTGAGGAAATAGATGTCTGTCGGTTAAGCCTCCCAGTGTGTGGAGCCCTGTCATGGCAGCCCAGGGAGACTGACGCACTGTCCGAATTCACTGAGCCTCAGCTCCCACACTCACAGAGCTGTGATCAAGATGCCCAGTTCATGGGGCTGTCGTTGGAGGGAACCACATACCTGCCAGGAACTTGACATGGAATACGTTTTCCTTCGCACTAACTTGTTCCTCTGCTGCTTTCCTTATGTTTCAGGGTAAGATCTTTACATTGTCACCCAGATCTCAGAGTTTAAGGAAAAGGTCTGTTTTTGTTGGTGATTCAATGCCGAGGTTAAAAAGTTGGGGGGAAATCGCTCTTTTTGAGAGTTTACACATTTGGTTTGGTTCCTGCCTCTATGTTGGCTATTCGCAGTCCGGGCGTGCGTTGTGTTCTGCTGAAGGCCCTGCGGTCAGCGCATCGGTAGAACCGTCCGCTGCTCACGCATCAGGAAACCGCCTCTGGAGTCTGCGTGCCAGGGCGAGTGTGGCGCGGCTGCTGTGACTGCACACACAGAAGCCACCGCGTGAAGCCGCTAGTCCGGCCAGCTCCTCCCAAGCTGCCTCAGGGGCTTGCCTATGGCAGTCTCTCTCCCCAGCTCTCCTCTCTGTCTGCGGACGCTGCCATGCGCTTTGTCCACGGCCACTCCGGCCTGTCCCCTTGGTTAAAGGAGGAAGGAGGTCTGCTGAGAAAACACTCTCCCGGGTAAGGAAGCAGCTGGGGATGGGACTCCAGTGGTGCCCGTTGGCACCGGTGACATAGGTCTGCTCTCTATTTCAGCCCAGGAGGAGGCCGCGTCTGGTCTGCAGAGCAGACTGTTAGGTTTGACCACTTGGACTTTTAGATCCCAGCCCTCCTTAGCCTGTCATTTGTAAAGGAGAAGATTTTCTTATTCCTCCTTCTCCTCCTCTTCCTCTTCTCTTTCTACTCCTCCTCCCCCTTCTTCTCACTCTGGTCCTCCTCCTCTCTCCCTCCTCCTCTGCCTCCTTCTTGGAACAGATATCAGGACAGGAGTGAGAGGGTAGCAGATGAGTGTGGAGGCGATGGAGAAGATGGACGTGAAGGTGACGTCCCTCTCACTGCTAACACCCCCGCCCTCCCCAAGGCATGATGTTTATGGTCCCGAGTGGTCACAGCTGAGTTCTCACTGTTCCTTTTGCCCCAAGTGGGAGTCTCAAATATAGCTTCCTGCGGGACAAGCTCTGGGCCCACGCCCTGGCAGGTGGGGAGACTGGCGAGTGTCTTACTCTGACCCAGGTGCTAAGCTCCTGATGTGCAAAGCCACCGGAACCCTGGTCTCCCGGAGGCCTCCGGGGAGAAGACAGTTTGTCAGATTAGCTGCTTTTTAACAGTCTCCAGCAGGATTCAGACTCCAAATGTCAGGGAGGAAGTCCACGCCCGCCCCCACCACCCACGCTGAAGCTGCTCTCCCCCTTTTCCTGGCTCCGCCATCATTTCCAGCTCCTGGCGGGAGGCGGGCGCTCTGAGCTGGGGGCCCCTGTGAACAGTGAGAGCGAGTGGTGAGGGCCCTGGGCAGCGCTGGGAGCCGCCAGCATCCCCCAGACCTGCTCCTCGCTGCCGGCTCAGGACGGAGCGCGTTCCCTGGCCTCCTCCGCATGGAGGGGTGGCCCCGGGCCGGATGCCGCTCCTGCCCTTAGTGTGTGTGCCCCTCCGGTCCCCGGCCTTGCCACGGGCGGGGAGGGGCCTGGTCCCGCGCCCAAGAAACAAGAAGGAAAGTGAGTGTGTGCGCCACTGTGCAGTCAGTGTCTGGTACAAACTTGAGCCTCGTCTTGCGCGTTATGGGCAGCGGCACTGACCCGGACAGGGGCCAGGCAGAGGGACCGTGGTGAGGGCTGCGCAGGAGGAGCAGGGAGAGGGGCCGGGGTGGGGCGGGGAGGGGGATGTTTGCATTTGGCATCTGTAATCAACCAGCAGGTGGGGAGTGTAAGTCACGTGGGACTCAGTGCCGTTTAAAAGCAAGCAAACTAAGAAAGCCAAAAGACTGGGAGCGAGGTGGGGGGTGGCCTCGGGGCGGCCATGGCTGAGGCCGGGGTGCAGGCAAGGTGTGTCCCCGGAGAGGTGGGGAAGGGGCTCAGAAGGTGCCCCCAAACCTGCCTAAGCAGCAGCCGGTGCAAGAAGCACACGCTGACCCCTCCTGTCCTCCTGGAACCAGGAGCTAACTCCTCTCCAGAGGCGCCCTCACAGCTTTGGGGGAGATGGCAGGCAGGGCCGAAGATCTGCCTGAACAAACCGCGTCTAACAAACCCAGGCCCACTTGCTCACTCCTTCCCCGTGCACAGCCCGGAGCCCCAGCACCCCTGTCCTGCCAGTTCTCCCCCAAGCTGTTCTTTGTCTGAGTGTCCTGAGGCTTCCCAGGTACACAGAGAAATTCAGTCACACGTGTCTGCTTTTCTCCTGCTAATCTGTCTTATGCTCCATTTATTTCTTAGGCCCATGAGAGACGTGAGGGCCGAGGAGAATGTTTCTTGCCTTGTGATGGGGCGGGGAGGCCGGGCCTCTGGCCTGTAGGGGCTGCTGGGAAAACAGGCTCAGAGGCCAGAGAAACCAAACTTCTAGTGAGGTGGGAACTCCTGGGGACTGGAAGAGACTGAAGCAGGAGTCCCAGGGGCAGGGCCAGGCCAGGGAGGGGTGTGGGGTGTGGGGTGTGGGATGTGGAGTGGGGGCCCAGCTGAAGGCTGTGTCCAGTGCCATGGCAGGGGCCCTGGCAGGGGAGAGATGCTGTCCCAGCTCCGGGGTGCAGAGGCGTGCAGGGGGACCCAGAAGGGAATGCTCACATGGCTCTCGGCCTTTATTCCCTGGAACCCCAGGGTGTGAACTGAGGGGTGATCTGAATTGCATTTGCAAGAGCGTTTGGGGCTGCTCAGCAGAGCGAGCTGCAGCTGAGGCCTGGAGAGCAGACATCCTCCCTGCGTGCCTGCGCAGACCTGAGTGCAAACACCCACTCACCACCTCAGCCGCAGCCCCCGTGGCCCCAGGGCCCCCTGGCTGTCCACATAGGCCTCCCCTCCCCCCTCTGCCAGCCTCCCTCACCTCCCTCCAACTCGCTGCACCGGCTCCAGCATCGTGCACGCAGGCTGACCAGGGCTAACGGTGAAGAACTGCTAACAGTGAAGTGTGTACAGCACCAAGAGGATCCGAGAGAGGCCCCGAGGGGCGGCCCCCAGGCGCTTGGCGATTCATAAGTCAATGCTCAACCCCTGAGTCACGCCGGCTAGGCCCTTCCTTATTTCTTATATCAAAATGAACTCCAAGTGAATTAAGGATTTCAATGCAAAGGAAGAAAAAAAAAAAAACCCTACAGAGGGAGTGGAGATGTATTTTTATCATTCTAAAATTTAGAAAAGCTGTTCTGACCATGCTAGGAATCCAGAAATTATTTTAAAGCACTGTTATTTTTGTCAACATGAAAATTTGAAATGTTTGTAAGGAAAGTAGGAAGACAAACCAGCAAACATATTGGCAACACATAACATATACATCCCCAATTCATAAAAGCAGCATGCGTCCCGTGGAAAACATGGCCACAGCAGACGGAGAAGGAGCTTGGGGGAGAAGTACACGGAGATGACAAGCACATGTCCAGCCTCGGCAAAGCCAAAGCCGGGCACATGTAACCAATCCTCCCCCAAAGGTAGCAAAATCAGAAAAGCAGCACCAGATGGGCAGTGTGTGCTGGGAAGGCGGTGGGCTTGGGAACTCAGATGCTTTATGGTAGGTGTTGACCACAGTCTTTCTGGAGGGCAGGAGACAGGTAGTCTTATGATTTAGAAACGGTTAGATGCCGCGGCTCAGGGGCTGGGCATTGCTCCCAAGGGAATTATTCCACACCCGCTCACCAGTTGCACACGGCTCTACTGCAGCCTCTCTGATAGCAGTGAAAAACTAGGAACGATCCGAGTATCTATCCACAGAGCACGGGTTAAACACCTGTTTGCACTTGTCATCAATGGCATACTGTGCGGTCATGAAAAATGATTTCCCAGTGCTTTGGGGTCTTCACCAAGATCACCTTCTTAATGGCCTGTTTAACCCCCTTTGGAACCGGTAATCACAGCTGCCCATTCTCAGGTCCCCTTCTGGCCCTGCTGTGCCGTTCTTTGTAGCACTTGCCACCTTTCAGCCTGAGAGGCCATTTGCTCTTATAATTTTCTGCTGCCCACTGGCCCCCGTGGGAAGGGAAGTTCCCCGAGGGCAGGCATCGGTGTGTGTTTTATTCACAGATGAATCGAAGGCCCTGGAGCAAGTGCCCAGCGCACCGCCCCTGTTATTGAATGAATGGAATATGTTCATTGACTTGGCTGGTTGCC